GTAAAAATACAAAATTATAATTGGTTTTCTAATTAATATTATTTGTAGGGCTGTCAAGCAATTAAAAAAATTAATTGCGATTAATCATGTGGTTAAACAATAATAGAATACCATTTATTTAAATATTTTTGGATGTTTTCTACATTTTCAAATATATTGATTGAAATTACAACACAGAATACAAAGTGTACAGTGCTCACTTTATATTTATTTTTGATTACGAATATTTGCACTGTAAAAAACAAAAGAAATTATATTTTCAATTCACCTAATATAAGTACTGTAGTGCGTTCTCTTTATCATGGAAGTTGGACTTACAAATGTAGAATTATGTACAAAAAAATAACTGCATTCAAAAATAAAACAATGTAAAATTTAGAGCCTACAAGTCCACTCAGTCCTGCTTTAGCCAATCGCTCAGACAAACAAGTTTGGTTACATATGTAGGAGATAATGTCGCCTGAAAGTGAGAACAGGCATTTGCATAGCACTGTTGTAGCAGGTGTCGCAAGATATTTACATGTCAGATGCGCTAAAGATTCATATGTCACTTCATGCTTCAACCACCATTCCAGAGGAGATGCATCCACGCTGATGACGGGTTCTGCTCGATGATCCAAAGCAGAGTGGACTGATGCATGTTCATTTTCATCATCTGAGCCAGATGCCACCAGCAGAAGGTCTATTTTCTGTTTCGGTGGTTCAGGTTCTGTAGTTTCCGCATCGGAATGTTGCTCTTTTAAGACTTCTAAAAGTATGCTCAACACCTCGTCCCTCTCACATTTTGGAAGGCACTACAGATGCTTAAACCTTCGGTCAAGTGCGATAGCTATTTTTAGAAATCTCACATTGGTACCTTTGCATTTTGTCAAATCTGCAGTGACAGTGTTCTTAAATCAAACATGTGCTGGGTCATCATCTGAGACTACTATAACATGAAATATATGGCAGAATGCGGGTAAAACAGAGCAGGGGACATACAATTCTCCCCCAAGGAGTTCAGTCACAAATTTAATTAACCCACTATTTTTTTAATGAACATCAGCAGGATGGAAGAATGTTCTCCGGAACGGTGGCTGAAGCATGACGGGGCATACGAATGTTTAGCATATCTGGCACGTAAATACCTTGCAATGCCGGCTACAACAGTGCCATGAGAACACCTGTTCTCACTTTCAGGTGACATTGTAAATAAGCAGGCAGCATTATCTCCTGTAAATGTAAACAAACTTGTTTGTCTTAGCGATTGGCTGAACAAGAAGTAAGTAGCTAAAGTTTTACATTGTTTTGTTTTTGAGTGCAGTCATATAACAAAAAAAAAATTCTACATTTGTAAGTTACACTTTCACAATAGAGATTTCACTACAGTACTTGTATGAAGTGAATTGAAAAATACTATTGCTTTTATCATTTTTACAGTGCAAAATATTTGTAATAAAAATAATATAAAGTGAGCACTGTACACTTTGTATTCTGAGTTGTAGTAGAAATCAATATATTTGAAAATGTAGAAAAACATCCAAAAATATTTAATAAATTTCAGTTGGTATTCTATTGTTTAACAGTGTGATTAATCGTGATTATTTTTTGTAATCACAGTTAATTTTTTTGAGTTAATCCCGTGAGTTAACTGCGATTAATCGACAGCCCTAATCATTTGTACTGGCAATAAGAGTTTGTGTAAATTCAATTGACAAATAGATCTTTACCTGTATAGGCAACATATGCCTAAAAGGTCTATCCCCAAACACAAATAAAGATCAAATGATCAAGCAAAGCAGTTTATTAAAAGCGGACTTTGTTTTTCTTCCAGTATGAACCAAGGAGAAAAGTTAAGAAGAATACTGATTTTAGTATTGTGCCCACATTTAAGGCACTGGATGATTTACGGTAGTCCACCATGCAACTTTGAGCATCACTAAGTAAGATGATTAAAGCTGTTAATAACCATTGTTAACTTAACCAATGATTTAAAGACTGAACCAAATACAGTATTTTAAAAGCAGAGAAGTACTTGGTTATGTATTATCGGTTTCCAAGGTAGTACATACTCATGAAGAAGTCTTATAGTAAATACAAAACACATTACTAATATGTACTAAAATAAGGTTATTTACTTAAAAATGATACATTGGACATAATCTGTGTACAGAAAAAAGCATTCATGGTAAACTTAAGGCACCTTTTAAATCAGATGCTGTACAAGGTACATTAGTGTGTTACATTTTAAAAGATTATTCTACACTTTTGGCATATAACAAACACAAGAATGTAATCATTCTGCTTGTTTTACCCTTCTCTCATTTTTATTTACATCTTCTCTAAGTTAACTACAATGTTATTTTTGTATACAATATAATACATTTCATGTTGGGCATGGGTAGGTCAGAGCACAAACATCACTACAGTATGTGGACTTAATTGCATTCAAGGATAATATAGAACAAGGCAACAATTACATGAGATTTGTTTAACAAATTAAGTAAAATAGTGTTCACTCCACCTTTGTGATAACTATTAAACCATGGCTACTATACTGTGAACTCCATAAAGCTCTGTATTATATACCATTATATCATCCCTACATGGGGTACACCCAGTGGAAGCAGGATTGTGTCCTCTGCCTTCTTACAGAAGCACTGTCACAACAATGGAGAACTGCTAAATCATTTCTATCTAACCAGAATAAAAGATAATTACTTCCCTTTAAACATTATTACAGTAACCAAAAAAGATTTTTAATTTTAAACTTAAGTGACATTTTTACTCTTCAAATGGTTTTAGTCTGTTAATTTAATTTAAAATATAGTATGTGAAGACAATATAGCTGATTTGTATCCAACGAATTAATTTTATAGCACATTCAGTGGTCATTTAGATGATGTTCTAAAATTTGATTCTAGGCTTACTGAGGAGGTAACAGTTAAAAATTCATTATGCATTTTAATATCAACACTTAAAGATAATATAATTTAAAAATGTAAATGAAATAATTAAGGAAAATATGGTACATACAAATGAAGCTACCAGTTTTCCAAGATTTTAAAGTCTCGTACTTTCAAAAATATCTACCTTAAAAGCTGATTAGAGGCCTACGGAAGTTGTACATCACTTATCTAATTTGGGTTTTCAAGATACTCATTCTTAAAGGAAAATTCTAAGATAAGCAAACAGTAAAACCCAAAACGCAAGTCTGCATTTATTCCTAGAAACATCATATTCCTTTAGGAATTTACAAGTTAACCAGGAATGTAAATGTTTCCTTACTCTCACTGAATACAATGGCCTCAATTATCTCAAAGATGCAAGTTACTTTCCATCCAACTAAAACAAGATAGAACCTGCTAGAGAATACAAATCTCCATATGCAATGCTTAATTGGTTCCAATGCACAGACCATGTTCACAAGGCATACTCTACACATTACATTTAAAAGATATTTGCTAGGCATCCTCTCCCCTCCCCCCCCCCTTTTTTTAAAATACTGGTTGACAAATAATTACTGAAGTAAGTTTGACCAACAAAATGAGACGATCACTCATTTAGGATGAAGGAGTCTGATACTCCTTTAAAAGGCTTTGGAATCCGTATAAGGCAATGCAACTTGTCTTAAGTCTACATTAAGTATAAAAATATTTTAATTAATAAATTTGCTAAGATTAATGTCAAGATTTTAAGAAATTGATATCTAAAGCTATGAGCGTAAGCACATATTTAGGCCCTGATTTTTCAAGTTACTTCACATAGGACTTAAGCACATCCTTAAGTGCTTTACTGAATTAGGGCCTTAATTTACTGATTTTCAGACATACTGAGCACCTACCGGCTCTCAATTGAGCCAATGAAAGTTACTGTATACTCATGATTTGAGAATATCAGGCCATTTACTGAGGAGGTGCTTAAAAATAGATTTTGGAGCCCAACTAGGCAACCACTTTTTAAAATTTAGGCGCAAGTCCCCCTCCATCTCTTCCTCTCCCCTCTTCCACCCGCCCAACAGAAAACCCAGCTCAGTGGATTTACTTTATGTAAAAGTGTTTTTTGTAAAAGCCTTTTAAAGTGTTATGGCATTTACTCAGAGTATGTCTAAACTACAATTAAAAACCCATGGCTGGCTCATGCCAGCTGACTCAGGCTGAGGGGCTGTTTAACTGCAGTGTAGACATTCAGGCTCAGTCTGGCTCCTGGGCTCTAGGACCCTGCGAGGTGGGAGGGTCCCTGAGCTCAGACTGCAGCCCAAGCACAAACTTCTATACTGCAATTAAACAGCCCCTTAGCCTGAGCGGGAGCCCAAGTCATCTGGTATGGGCCAGCCACAGATATCTAACTGCAATGTAGACATACCTTCAGTATCACCAACATTTTGTCTTGCAAAAACTTAAGCAATAAATATTTGGAGTGAGGGGAAATCAATGAATAATTAAAAATGGTGTTTCATTTTTACATTTCTGTTGCTTTATTTAGACTACCACCAACTGTTTTCCTTAAAGACTTCAGAAAAACACACCAAGATTAAGTATCAGCAAATAAATCATAGCCAATAAAGATGTATAATTCAAATGGCACTTTATGAGATGAATACAAATATTCCAATATAGCAGTGGTTCCCAAACTTGTTCCGCCACTTGTTTAGGAAAAGCCCCTGGTGGGCCGGCCGGTTTGTTTACCTGCTGCGTCCACAGGTTCGCCCGATCGCGGCTCCCACTGGCCATGGTTCATTGCTCCAGGCTAATGGGAGCTGCTGGAAGCAGTGGCCAGTACGTCCCTTGGCCCGCGCTGCTTCCAGCAGCTCCCATTGGCCTGGAACAGCGAACCGCGGCCACTGGGAGCTGTGATCGGCCGAACCTGCAGACGTGGCAGGTAAACAAACTGGCCCGGCCCGCCAGGGGCTTTCCCTGCACAAGCGGCGGAACAAGTTTGGGAACCACTGCAATATAGGAATGGATTAAATAAAAAAAACCTCCATGTTCTGAAAGAGCAAGCTTATGGGACACATGCATAAACATTTTTCTTTTTATTGTTAAAAACCCAGGGCAATGGGTGGGTGGAAGCAGTTTATTCTAAATTATTGATTTTATTACTCATGCCAAATATTTTCCAACTACCTGTGCTACTCTTGGGGGAATTCTGCGTTACTGTGCATGCGCAGAATTCATGGCCCCTGCAGATTTCTTTGCTTCCCATCAGAAAAATGACTTCTGATGGGGAAGCAAAGGGAAGCCGCAAGAGCGGTCACACACCCCTCCCCAGCAGTGCAAGCAGGTTAGTTTGAGTGCCCAGAGCTGCTGGTAGAGACGTAAATCACACCCGGGGCGGGAGGGCTGGGCAGTCATGTGTGAGAGAGAAAGAGACACTCTGTCCCTCTTGCTTGCTATTGTGGAATGCTCGGCATGAAGGGGCAAGGCTTTGGGGTGTTTCTGAGAAGGTAGATGTGCAGCAGGCTCTGTCCCCACAGGCAGAGTAGAATGTAGCAGCCTGCCTGCTTAGTGAATTGTTCCCATTGTTCTTAGTAAATTCCCCAGGAGTATAAAACAGGTGTAAAAAATTTAAGGCTCCTTTATATTCCCAAAGTGGTGTAAATAAGCCTTATTGTATTAGCCTTATAAATCCTTATGATGCTTTAGTGATTAGAACTAATTAAATTTTTTGACTGAAAAATTTTCCTATCAAAATGAGCTCCATGAACTGTTTTCTACTGACCTTCCTGGAGATGGTCAGTAGCCAATATAAATTGTGAGTCTGAGCCCTCACTTGCTCTTCAATTGCCTATGATGTAACACTGAGCATATGGCTGCATATATTTGTTGATTAATAACTAGAAGTAAAGGGTCAATACTAGCTACATTACTACTAGACAGAGGGGGCTTGGGGATTTCCTCCAATGCTCCCCACTCCCATTCTCCATCCATTGTATTGTAGTTTAAATAAATTACCAAAATAATTGAAACCGGCGTGATTATATTGTGTTATATTAACAAATAAAATATGCAGAATTTTGCAGAACTTTAAAATACTGTGTGCAGAATTTTTAATTTTTGGCACAGAATTCCCCCAGGAGTACTATGCAAACTAATGCACAAAGACATGCTTAACAACTTCAGCCTCATTTTATATCTTTCTTGGCAATGGACGGAAAAAAAATTTAAGCCCTTTTTTCATAAGAATTGTGGCACACTACTGTCTACCGCTGTCTTCAAATAAGTTAAAATTATACTTGACACACCCATGAATTGTTCAACCAGAATACATATTAATACTTAAAGGCTTTAATGAACAAAAGTAATGACTTTATTTTAAAAAAGAAATGTCCCTTGAGATAACTAGTTTTCTATAAAATATGTAGCATTGTTAAATAAAGTCTGTACATCACAACAGAAAATAAAAAATACTGCAGTCTTTTGCCTGACCACTTACTTTTTGCAAACTATGGAACAAAAGTGAAAAAACCCAATGTTAGATAGTTATTTGCAGTTGTTCACAAATGCATATTGGAACTTCATTAAGCTACATTTTCTATTGTATTTTCAAAAGACATTTTAACACAATTTCAAAGCAGTCTCCATGTACCCATTTTAAGACGACAGATAATTTATCAAAAATCTTTATATGAAATCGCTACGTCTGAACAATTTCAACATTATTTCTAATTCCCTCCCCCTCCAAATCTGGGCTATAGCATGTGTGTACACATGTACCTATGACCAGGTGTTTTAAAATAGAGCACAGTACACACTATATAAATACCTTCCCTTTTTAAAATTATCTAGAACAAGGTTAGAGGCACTTAAATTAGGTTTAACTGAACTGTTCCAATACTGTGTTTTTAATCTTCAGAAGATTCACAGCATTGGGAGTTTAAATTTGAGTTATGGTGCTTTTTCTGACTTCAAACGAACAGTGACAAAATTAATGGTATATAACTAATGACCCAACTTTACAGTAATCATTTTAGTTTTTTTGGCCTTTTATATCAACCTGTCTTGGTCAACAAAAAAAGGAGCAGAAATTTGATTTCCCGTGCAAGCCAAATGGCTTTCATGTAACTAGCTAGTTGCTGCAGTACAGAATCATATGCACATCACTGCATATTATACAGCAACCCTTGACCAAATCCTGCAGCAATGTTAATTTATTGTACCTCCATTAAAACCCCTTTCAATCCCATTTCTCCCATACCCAACAACACACATCCGATTCAGTTGAAAATACTCACTGATTTACAATTCGTCGATGATTTTCAGGAATGATAGTATTTGATTATGTTTTTTCAATGTGTCCTCTAGGTGGCCCAGTAGATCTCCAGCAGTAACGATGCTGTCAGGATGATCTAGCTTAGAATCTCCTTTGCCTGTCTCATGCATGCCAGTCAGCTTCAGCGGTTCATCTCAGTTCCCCAGGCCTTGGATGACACTCTCAGTTTCCTAGCTGCCCAGCCTGCACTTCTGGGAGTGGGACCTAGCTGCAAACTGGACTCCAGCTCTGGCTCTCAGACCTCCCCTCCTACCTGGTTCTATAGAATAGTGAAAGGAGCATGCAGTGCAATCCATTTAATTCCCTCTCATGGGGAAAGATGCAAAGCATGAAGCAGCTGCAGACAGGTCCCAGCAGGACAGAGAGACAAAACAGAAAGCCAAAGATCTGGTTGCTGCAAAATGGTGAAGTCTACAGCAAATATGATGACTTCTGTGGTACCCTGAAAAAGGCCAAATTCCACAGCCACACAATCAAGGAGCATACTGGGCCCCAAGTGAGATGATTGAGGCAGATCACACCTCTCAGTCACTGTTTCAGGCTTTCTGCAGACT